CAAGCCTCAGTGTTAGGAGTCTACGGGGAGGAGGTGTTGTTCTTGCTGCGCCCAGTTGGACAGATCAGCTGGTTTGAGAGAGTGGGTCGAACTTTTGGAACGGCGCAGTAGTCTTGGCAATGCCGAAAAACTGAAAGCCACTCGAGATGCGCATGCAAATTTCATCCCCGACACGGTCCAGGCCAGTGCAAGCTTGGCGAGCACTTGCAAGGAGATACAAGGCCGTATGCCAGCTGTCACCCCGAGCACACGCACTTGCCAGCGCACTGTAGGCAATTGCATCAAGCCTCAACAAACATGCATATGCATGCTGCCAGCTTGAACCCAGAAAAAGGATGCGCAGCTGGTTGTGCAGTAGCCATGTCCTGCATTGCCTCCTTCTGGAGTCTTTAGCCCAGGAACTTTTGCTTCTGTTCCTGGCTTATGCTGAGAAGCAACATTGCCTGCAGCCATGCGCTTCCTCAGACGTGCATCTGACTCACAGAAGTAAACGTGTATACCAGCTTTAGGTACCACAAATCTATGGAGGAGTCCCAGCTGCCCTTCTCACAGGCGCTGATTGCTGCACTGCACGAGACCACTGATGCTTGTAGCCGGTTTCGGTCCTCGGTGGGCAGTAGGGACAACAAATTGCTGCATACTTCACACACCTCTGCACAACTCTGCCTCCAAGGCTCAAGCTGGCTCAGAAGCTCCAAGCCCCATTCCCACCGGCCTGCTTTTTCGCAGGCACTGATGGCAGCGTTAAAACTTATCTCGTCAGGGGCCAACATTGGGAACATGTCGGAGAGGAGTCGCAGGGCAGCTTGCCACTGTCCTGCCTTCTCACAGGCGCTGATTGCAGTGTTGTAGATGATCAGGTTCATGCGGAGGCTCCCACATACGATCTCTGCGAGCAATTCCAAAGCTGCCTTCCAGGAGGAGCTTGACTCACAGGCACTGAGCGCTGCCCCATACGCAACGTCGTTTGCTTGCAGGCGTAGCAAAGGCAAGTCCGCCAAGGTGCTCAAAGCCAATTGCCACCAGCCTGCCCTCGCATAAGCACTGAGGACGGTGCTGTACGAAACAATTGTTGGTTCCAAACGCTGGCCAGCTAGCACCTCACAAAGTTGGGCTGCTCGTTGCCAACTCGTCCCTTTCTGGCAAGCACTTCCCACAGCGTTGTACATGATAACATCCGCATCCACTGCCTGCCTTCCGGCCATGTGCAAAAGGACCAGGGCATGCTGCCACTCTGAGGCTCTCTCACACGCGCTAACTGCAGAGCTGTACGCAACAACATTTGGCTGAGTGATTCCATGCAGGGCCGTGAGCAGCTGCAAGGCTCTTTGCCACTCTTCTCCACGACCACAGGCTGTGATTGCAGCGCTGTAAGCATTCACAGCACCATTACAACGACTCTGGCGGAAATCTTCCAACACATCTAAGCTCTTCTGCCATTCTCCGTGCTTTCCGAGTTGTCGGATAGTCCGTGTAAACGCTTTGGACTGATCTGTGCTGCTTCCGCAGCACATGCCATACCTCAAGCTACTCACATGCAGCTGCATACGCACATCCGTATCATAGAGTAACACCCCGAAGTAAGGACGTACACCTGTCGCTTCCGCCCTGCCTTGAGGACCCACATCACGGTTTCTATTTGTTCGCTCTACCACTATTTTTCACAATAAAACAACACGTGAACTGTGAGAGTCTTGGCGAAGGGTTTAGAATGTTTAGAGCCGACCGATCGGGTATCACGCGCCCCTCTAGTTGCACTCGCCCCTTCGGAATTCTAACTCTCGGTCTTGCACTATCTTGCACTTTCCACCTGGCTCTTAGTCTCAGTAGGCCCTTTTAGAAGCTCTGGCCAGTGAAGTTGGCAAAGCCCTATCATCACCAAGCCGCACTAAACAACAACACCCAAAAAAAACTGTCAGCTTTGCCAATGTGAGTATGAGCAGCTAGTGCCGTGTTCAGCGGTCCATTGGCTGCAATGGAGAGCTATGGAACCAGCAACAAGGCAGGCACTGCCAGCAAGATCCCGCTTCATTCGCATTGGGCAGCTTGCAGTGTGATGCCCATCACATTGCTCGGCCCGAAGCTATCAAGCTCGTCACTGAGCAAGTGCTGAGCATGCCACTTCGTTTCAAATCATGTGTTGGCATCGAATGCCCGAGGGAGGCATGCAAGGTGTATTTGTTGCTCTACTGATGGACATGACGAGGAAGCATGACCCATGACTGGAAAAGCAGCGAAGGGAAATGCTCCACTCCCACCTGCAATGGTCACACCTCCATGCCCTACACTCCGCATGAAGCTCACGACCGGCAGATTTTCTTGCCACCATCGTCACATCTGACCAGCCCACCGCTTGCACCTGCCACAGCAAGGAAGGCAAAGCTCAAGTCAGAAGGGGCAAAGCCAGGGTCCGGCTGCCCTGCCTCAGTGAGGAGCTCCGCCAACAGAACGCCCAAGCCTATCTCCTCGCACAAACCTCGGCATGAGGCGCTTGCAGTCAACAGTCATCAAGGTCCCATGAGCGACGTGTGAGCCTTTCTGCCGAGCTACCAGTCATCACCTGCAGGGTGATGGTGTCCGGTTGCAACCCTGCGTTCCGTAGCTGGTTCAGCAGCGAAAGGGAGCTTTGCCACTGGCTGGAACGCTCCTGAGCTTCAAATTTGAAGAGCGTGAACTTCACAGACCATGCGACCAATCACCAAAACCAGAAGCCGTCGATCATGCCATTCCCGAGACAACAGGCCAGGCTGGCAAGCTGTCAAATGCATACAGAGTCAAGGGCGGATACCTAGAGGTCCATGCAAGCAGTGCCTACGCCAAGCCAGGTGGTTCAGGGAGCATCAAGGCATCGGAGGGTCGGCAACCATGCTTTCTGAGCATGTCACTGATACACACGCCAGAAGCGAAGGCTGCCAAGTATCGCAGGCGCTCAATGCCGCATTGAAAGTGACCATGTTTGGCAGCATTTCTGCATCTGTCAGATCTTGAAGTAGTTGGAGTGCATGCCGCCACTTACCACCTTCAAAGTCGAAACAACTTCAACAGACTGCCATGAGCGCGCAAGACATTTGGAAGCACGCAGGTCTCAAGTTTCAGCCTTTCTCGCATGAGCTGATAGTTGCAGACAAGGTAATCACCTACAGCGCTGCATCAACAACAACTGGAGGCCCCACATAAGCACTTACTGCGTCATGTCAGTCTGAGCGTGGACAGACTGCAGCAAGGGCAGTAGTTGGCTTTGCGCTTTCGGCACAGCTAGGTGCGAACCTACGGTACGAATGTTTCTGTCAAGGGACATTAGTCTCCAGCTGCTGGATCTTAGCATCCTCATAGAGCCAGAGAGCCATCTCCCACCGCTCCTTATGGCTCAAGCACATATGATACGATATGGGAAAGTTTATGGCTTGGGCAAGACGCTGCTGTTGCAGAGCTCTGGGAAGAACCTAGGACCTGTATTCCCCCCTAAGTAGAATATGGGTGTATATGGGTATCTTATTATATTATACCCAAAGTCATATTCTATCTACTTGGGGGGACTATAGCACTGAAAGCTAGCCGAGTTTACGTAGCACATCCATCAAATCCAAGGCACCTTCTCACAGGCACTGATAGCAGAGTTGTACATGATGCCATCTGCCTTCACAGGTCTCAAGTTGGAGGGTCATTCACACAAAAACCACCCAAGGAGGGTGTTGATTGCAAGGAAGACCTGCGAAAGGCCACCTGAGCTATAGTGTAAACTCCTAGTACTCCACCGTAATAGTTCCTATAGTTGTCCCCTAATGTCCCCCATATAATCCCTTCTATAACCCCTTTAAGGAGTTTAGATTTGGCTCACCTGAGCTATGCAGCGAGGTCAGGAAGCGACCTTCAAGCCGGAGCTCAACATTGACATCAGCAGGAAGACCGCCATCGTCCACCTCAGGGTTTCAGGGTTCAGGGTTTAGAGCAACTGTTTTTTCACTCTTGCAGGGATGGTCATCGTCAGGGGTAAAACACGCAGTATAAAGAACAGCGTAAAATTGGGCTTTCAAAAAAAAATCGGGGTCTCTTTTTAGGGGTCTCCATAATACGAATGTTGATACATTGGTGCCTATATTGGGGTCCCCATGTATGCGACCTACCACAACCCTGTGAACTGCTACATCCGCCCAGCTTCCATTTCATTCACAATGTCCCTTTCCATGTATTTCTTCCATTTTTCGGCCCAAGGTCCCCAAAAAATGTGCTTATGGAATCCCCTATATGACCTATATCCCTTTCCCCAGAGGAACCCAAACCCTAATGTAGACTCATGATTAATACACCCCCTCCCCGTAATAAGGATTATAATAGGGATCCTAATATTAAGGCCCTGAAATGGAAGGGGGGCTAGTAATCACGGGACTACATTGTACTCTAACATGACCCGGGCACTGACTCCGCTTCTCACAAGAGCTGATGGCGGAGGAGGCCAAAATCATGTCTGCGCGACCAGATGCTCCCTCCAACTCCTTAGATTTAGCGTTCAAGGGTTATATACGGATTACATAGGGATCTACAGGAATGGAGAAGACAATGGAAACTACTACACAGTCCGAACTGCTTAGGTTTCGTGTTCAGGGCTTCACGTCAGGCTGAGCTCCTACATTCCTGCATGTTCAAAGCTAAGCCTGACGGTAACGCACTTTGGCTCCTCCACCCTGAAAACACAAACAGGGGGACCCCAATATAGACCCTACAATACTCTACATAATCTAATCCTTGTAATAGGGACCATCTTTGCAACCGAGTCGCAAAAAGCAGGAGCAGCGCCGCCTGCCACTGCCCCTTCTTCTCACAAGCACTGACCGCGGCACTGTACCTGCGAAGATGTCTGCAATGCGAGATTTGCTGGTGAGTTTGCACCGGGCCGAGGCACGTGATGACATCCGGTTGAAGCGTCTCGTCCTGCATCATGCTCATGATGCGCAAAGCTTCCTGCCATTGTCCACCTTTCCTTAATCCAGCGCACATGCACAGTCGATGCAAGGCTGACCTCCCCGCGCTTCGGCACAAACCTCTCTGGTGACGAGAGTCTCGCATGCGCTGATTGCAGAATTATAAGTGATTTCGTCAGGAGCCAGGCTCCAGACAGGTAACCCGGACAGCAAGAGCAGCGCCTGTGTCCACTGGCCCGACTTCTCGCAGCTGTTTAAGGCTGCGTTGAACCTTGGGGTAAGACTGCTGCTTGTTCTCTGGGCTGTTAAGGAATTTGAACGAAATTGATATGCAGAAAATGATCCCTTTCTCTAGTATGAGCAACTCAGCTTGACCCAGTTCTCTCTGCAAACAGCTCCAGTCGCTAACAGCTTAGGCCAGGCGTATACCAACGGATGGCTGGGTTGCTGTTCAGGAACTTGAATAAAGTTACCATAATGGGTATGTTTAGTAATCAACATAGTTTCCTCAATATAGAAACTTGAACTAAGTTCCTGTGTGCTCACCAGAGTGCATAACCAGGTTGGGCTGGAGGCAATCCAGGAGGCGCAGGGCCAGCGGCCATGCTACACCTCTCGCACCTCAATTCATGTGATCTATCTGGGCAGAGAGAGACCATGCAAAACGAATTGGCGGAAGTTGATTTTTGACTTGCATGCAAGAGGCAAGCAGAAATAGCCGAGCCGATCGCGACCACATTTGGTTTCAGCTGGTGGTCTGAAGAGCATGACAAAAATCAGTGAAATGTTTTCTGCTTGGGAACGTTGAGCCTGGCAGCACTGCCACGAGAGCCAGCGCATCCATCCAGCGATCAGCCTTTCCACACATGCCTTAGCGAAGAATGAGTCGGGCGCAGGCACTCGTACTGCTTCTTGCTGGCCTAAGTGAGAGCTAAAGAGAATGGTGTCCTATCTGCATCCAGTCACACGCGGTGCTGTAGGTAACAATGGTCGGCCGCAGGCCACCAGACAAGGCAACATCCAAAAAGCTATGCGCGCGGTCCCAGACCAGCTGTTGTTGGAATGAACTTAGGACCTTGGCTTGGCTGATGCGGCAATCAGACCATCTCACCTAAATTGACAGGCATTGTCCCAAAAATATGTCAAGGCACAGAGTTGTGTAGGACCATGTCTGGCGGAACAGCGACCTCTCTGACCTCCTCATAGATGCTCATAGCCAGCTTCCACTGCTCCAGGGCGCTGACCTCAAAACATCTGGCTACTTGGACTTTCTCATCCAGCTGTTGCCTTGCACGGGTAGGAATGACCCGGCACAGAACCAGGGAGTCAACCCCAAAAACTTGCTCACAGGCCTCCGATATTATAGCATATTATAGTATATTGGAGTATATTGGGGCAATATAGGGATAATGGAAAAGAAAATCGAAATTACTGTAGTATCATGATTCAGTCAACTACTCATGCCAGGTGCATCCGGGCAACAACGGAACCAAAAGTGATAACGTTTGGCTGCAGCCGGAGGCGTGCGAATGAACGCAAAACGCTGAGCGCTGCCAGCCATCGTCTTGCCTTCCTGGATTGCTGCTAAGGAACTTAAGTTTAGTTACCATAATATGTAGTAATTAATATCGTTTCCCCAGTATAGTAACTTTACATAAAATTCCTTAACAGCAACCCAGCTTCCCGCATGCCCCCAAGCAGGCTGTAAAGCTCGGGAGCCCGCTGGCAGCCCTGACCGCGCACTGACCGAGCCTCCGAATGCTGGTCTATTTTAGTAGGTTATAGTATATTATATCTATTATAGTGTGCTATAGTATATCTTAATATATCACAGTATAGTAGGGTATATTGTAATATATTATAGTATGATTGGGTATATACTCCGGAGTATTCACTCACCAGAGAAAGTCATCCCCAGACCGCTTATAGGCTCAAGTTGGGCAGAGCCGCTCAAGATCTGCCAAGGCTTCACACCAATCCCTGGACCGCAGCAGCCGACGGGCGCCAGCCCTGCAAAAAACATGTGGTAGTTTCCCAAAATTAGGGGTACCATTTGGGGGGTCCCCATAATAAGGACTATAATATTTTGGAGTCTATATTGGGGTTCCCTTATTTAGGGAAATCACCATGTGTCTAGCGGAGTCTAGCACTCCACCAAGACTGTGCTTCAGACAGACAGCTCCAGGCCTCTCACGGTAGTCCGGGCCCATGCTTCGCGCAGATGCCGAGGCATTTTGCCAGCCCCCATCGCGCACTAGCAAAGAGGCCCTCAGTTCCACTGCTGCCGTCGGCAACTAGGCATGGCGTTTTCCGCACGCTGTTGTGCTTCTGGGCCTACACGGCCTGCACTGTGAGTTGGTATTACCAATGGCTCAGAGCATCAAGCCAAACAACAGGGGTTGCTGACACCAGCTGTCCCACTGAAACTACATTTGGCCTCTGCCATATAGTATAGAGCTTCTACTTCTACAAGATACGCTCGAGAGAGTCTCCCATCAAACTGTTTGGTAGCTGGGGCCCGAGCCAATTGCTTTGGTCGCCGCTACCTTCAGGAACAGGTTCAAAAACACACTGCTGGAGGCCTCCCCACGATGCTGCAAGAAGGCCTTCACTGTTAGCTCACCGGGGCGGGCGGAATCAGTCTGGACAGCGGCCCTTACCTGCACACGCCAACTCTTTCGCTGATGCATAGATTGCGCTAGTGAGCTGAAAGGCTAGGGCACAGTTCTACACAAAACTTAAAAAGGCAATGCCAGTTTCCATGTCATCTTCCATGTTCTTTTGCATTTGATTCTCCATTGAGGTTATACATATATATATATATATGTATTCATGTATGTATATATACATCCCCATATAGGCCCTATATCCCCTTCACGTAAAAAGCTGGGTTCCCACACCAGGGCCCCGAGCGCTTGGCGCCAGGTGGGTGAAGCCTGGTCTCGCCTTTTGAGCTTTGCTCGATTTGAATGCATCCAAGGGGTTACACAGGGGATCGTATACAGAAGTATTACGGGGGTATTGCAGGGTGAAAACTGACCAGGTTCGCTCTGCCGGATCAAACATGTATAGTCCCCCTCAAGTACATAGAATATGGGGTATATGGGGATCTTATTTTCATATATCCAAAGCCATATTCTATCTACTAGAGGGGGACTGTACACTTGCATGAGCCAACTTGAACTTCAAAGCAGGTCTCTGGCTCAAGTGCAGCTATCAACGCCGCTAGCCCGGCTCGGTCACCACGCAAAGTCTGAGCGGCGAAGGCCTCGCCGGAGCAGGCAAAAACAGCTGTAACTTGGTGACTTGGCCTGGGGCAGTTCATGTCAGCTCATGTGAGCCATAGTCTGAACTCCTAGTATCCCCAGTCACGCTACAGCTACATAATAGCCCCTACAATGCTTCCCTATATCATCCCAACCCCCTTGACGGAGTTGAGACTATAGCTCATGTATTGTAAGCGTCTCATCCATCCTTTAGGAGGGGAGGTCCACCCAACGTAAAGCCTAAACCCCCAACCCTGAACCCTAAACCCAAAAAAACTAATCCCATTATCCCTTATAACCTAAACCCCCAACCCTGAACCCTAAACCCAAAAAAAACTAATCCCATTATCCCTTATAACAACTATTACCGGGACGAGGGGGTCCACCTACTCTCTAGGCCCTAATCCCTAGGCCCTAATCCCTGATATCCCGCCTCCTAATCCCTAAACCCTAACCCTAATCCCTGGACCCTAAACCCTAATCCCTAAACCCTAATCCCTAAACCCAAAACCCTAATCCCCAATCTTGCTGCCTCAATGGCCTTGGAAGCTGCGGGATCAGAGCCAGCCTTGCGCATGTTGGGCAGATGGGGGTTTCCCAAAGTTGGGGGGGGGTAACCTTGAAAGGGGGGTACAGGGTTTACATAGGGATTATATAGGGATTGAATTGGGATGATATAGGGATTATTCAGGTCTATATCGAGATACAGATTTGGGAGCTTCCCAAAGTTGGGGGGTAACTTTAAAGGTGTTATAGGGGATATACGGGCGTATGTAAGGAGATATGAATACACGGCTCAGTGTTTTGGAGTCTCGCAAAATACCTTTTTGGGGATCCCCATATAAAGGATGTTAGCATTTTGGGGTCTACATTGGGGTTTCCATATTTATGGAAACTACCAGATGGAGCGCGTAATCTTCGAATGCCCACCTTGTTCACAAACTTTTGAAGCCCACACGCAGCAGCTTTCTGAACAGCCGCATGCCAGTCCTGGATGGCAGAAAATGCTACGCAGCCTGCAACTCTGAAACTGGCTCAGCAGAAAAATAAAGGAAACAACTCTAGTCCCTAAACCCTGAGCCCCATATATCCTTATATACTCCTATGTGTGCCCTTATAACCCCTTTGAAGGTACCCCTATATATCCCCCATAACCCCTTTAAAGGTACCCCCCCCATTGTTCCACAGGCGGGCCTCTAGGCAGCTGCCTAAGGCAGAAGCTGCCAAAACGTCTCTTGGAGCCTCGGCCAGTGCCTTCAGACTCACAGCTTAACATGCACCATAGCCTGAACTCCTGGAAAAACGGCTATAGAGGGGATTATATAGGGGACGACTATAGGGGTTACTGAGGGGGGTATTTGGAGTTTAGACCCTAAACCCTAAACCCTGTTGGGGTTCTCAAATCTTATCAAGGGGGATACTGGGAGTTTAGACTATGGCTCATAATCTGCACCGTCATCTGTGTGCCAAGATGTTGAAACCAAGCTTAGCCTTCACAGCGGCAAGCCGTGCAGAGAGCTGGCCACCATCGACACCTGAAGGGTTTGGGTGTTTTTTGATGTTTTTTGGGGGGCCCTCAACCCTAAACCCTAAACCTACGGTTTAGGGTGTTGGGTTCTGGGTTTTGGGTGGGGTTAGGGTTTAGGGTTTAGGGCTCCCACATGCACATTTGCTGCATACGGCTGTCGAGTGGCTGTCACCCTCCTCAGCAATTTTGGCCAGCTCCTCAGCTTTGGCTTATCCCCTGGACAGCGATGCA